TTTTTCTCCTCTGGAGCATCTGATAGATTTAAATCACCAGAGATGCAACTTGTTACACATTATGTCTCTTAAAGATGTACTAAATACTTAAAAGTGCCAAGCACAGTGCTAAATAACAGAAAACCAAGTGAGTAAGAAACAATGCCTTTTCTCAAAAATTATACACCAGATAGGAAAAGTCAATCACTCTGTTATAGAGAAAAAAAAAGCAAAGAGATATGTGTTAAATGAACTGAGGGGAAATAAAACAAAACCCAGAATGAGTAGTTGTGTAAAGTCAAGAGGAGGAATGGTCAAAGAAACTTCCACAGCACAGCCAATATTAGAAAACTCTATCCTTTTGTTCAAGGAGACCATAAAATAGGGTTGAATAGGACAGTTCTGCATTTAAATTCCAAAGCTCTCATATATTAATCCTGTCATTTTAATCATGTTTCTTCTCGGAATCTAAAAATATTTCCCTCTACAATAGGAATAGTTCCATCCCATTGTCTCCTTGCTACACAGATTTAAATGGGATAATCCATGTAAATACACAGCTGTGTGCCTAATAAATTGTAGTAATTATTATAGCTAAGCAAACATTTTAGAAACATTAGTTTCTCTTATAAATAAGGCTTTTTTGCTTAACTATCAAAAGTCTAGCTTCAGTTCCTGACCTTACCTCCCTCACCCCCCAAATTTAAGACATTTCTGTACAATTTATATTTCTACGAAAGGTTTTTAATTACCATTGTAAACCTCACTTTATTTCAGTTTTACTGGCTGCTGATACATTAACCAGCAGTGCCACCAAATGACAAGACTCAAAATTTCAGTCAACAGTGCAGTTACATTTATACAATAACTTGTCCAAAGTGTCTAATCTCTAGAATGCATAAACAACAATTTCCCATCTAGATTTTAAAATTCAGTATTTTATATGGAAGTTTTATGTGTAGAAGTCAGCAAGAATAGAAATTTGAAAGAAAATTACATCATATATTAAAAGACATCATGGGAAACTATAAATAAATAGAAAAGATAATATGGGTTTAATGTATTATCAAGCCACAATTATAGTTTACATTTATGCTTATAAAAATATCTCAAACAAAACTTTCACATTTAGACAGATGTCTACGGTATATTAAATAAGTTGATAATAAAAAAAATCATTCAAATACACATTGCTCCAACTAATCATCGAGCCATACTCATTTTCCATCCTTTCTTATATTTATGCATACATAGCTTTTACCCATCTAAAACAGGGAATTGTCACAAATAGCTGAAATCATTTATAAGGCTTAAGAAAAATTTAAAAAACTCTAGGGAATAACTGAAGGAGTCTTGCTGGCATAATGGTAAATTCTCTTTGATAACCAAAGGATCAGCAGTCAAAGTCATCAGCAGCTTCATGGGAAACAGACCTGGAAATATGTTCCCATAGAAATCATAGCCCACGAAAATCTGTGAGGCAATTCTGTCATACAGGGCTTATTCAACTGCACACAACAACAGGCCTGACACCAACTAAAGAACAGCAGCAGTGAAAAACAAAAGAGGGAGACAGAATTGAAAAATCTTTACCTGAACCTTGTATTTTGAAATTTATAAAGTTGAAGTAATTTCTATACTAATCTCAACCTAATGAAAAATCCAAAGTAACAAAGACAGATCTTACTGATAAAAATGTGGTAACTATATGGTATTATTTGCCATCAAGTCGCTTGTGACTCATAGTAACTCTCTGTACAATAGCCTTGAAACCTGCACTATTCTATGCCAACCGTACTGTCTCTGACAGACCTAACCGCATTACCCCAATCACTGAATCAATCCATCTTGTTGAAAGTCTTACTCTCTTGAGCTGTCCCTCCACCCTACCCCTCCAAGCATTATTTTTCTCTCCAAGGACTGATCCCTCCTTGTAGCATGCCCAACATATGTGAGATGAAGCCTCAGAATCCTTACAAGGAGCAGCCTGGTTTCACACTCCCCAAGATGTACCTGTTTGTTCTCCTGGCAGTCCACTGCTAGTAAGCAATTGTGAAGACTATGTATGGCCTGGGTCAGGTGCACCTTAGTCTCCAGAATGATGGGGAGAGAGGTGTTGAATAGTGTAGGTGGGACTTGAAGAGGATGCTGATAGAGTAGGGATAGGGGTGGGTCAAGACATATGCACCAAGAGTGAACAGCAAAACTGAATTTATTGGTTACTTGTATAATTGGGAAAATGTATTTTGTCTGCTCCTTTTTCTAAAATGCTTGTCTATAAGATACTATTCTAAATCTGAGCATTCAAATTAAGGCAGGCTAGGAAGACGGACTGGCCACCCACTTCCGAAATAGCAGGCCTTCAAAAACCCTATGTACAATAGAGCACTTAGAGCACACTAGCAGATATGGCAATTGAGGCTAAGCCCTCAGATATGGAAACAAAAAGGAGGAGGAACAGTTGTAAGCAGACACTAGGGATTGGAATGTGAGAAGCATGAATGTATTTGCATGATATGCATCAGAAAGCTGGACAATGACTAAGGATGACAGGACAATTGATGCCTTTTGAGCTGTGGTGCTGGAGAAGAGTATTGGATATATACCATGGACTGTGAGGTGAACAAACAGGTTAGCCTGGATACAAGGATTCTGAAGCTCCATCTGACATACTTTGGACATGTTGCAAGAAGGGACCAGTCCTTGGAGAGGGAGGGTGGAGGGACAGCACAAGAGAGGAAAACCCTCGATGAGATGGATTGATTCAGTGACTGGCGTAATGGGGGTAGGTGTGTCGGAGACAAGGCTGGCTCAGGATAGAGCAGAGTTTAGAGCTGTTATATATAGGGTGGCTACGAATTACAGGTGATTTAACAGCACATAACAGCAACAACAACA